TGATTGCGTGCACGGCCCACTGGCCACGTGGTTCCGACGGCAATTATTCTAATCGATTCCGCCTATCGATGCGTTTGTATACGTCAATTGTACTAGAAGTTACCAAGCTATTGCATTACGATAGTTTAATTTGTTTTTTTTGTGTAGCACTCGTTTTCTATAGTTTTTATTATTATTAAATAAAAACATTTATAAAAACCAATGATGGTTAATTTTTGAACGATTAAAGTTACCAAATAATTATTTTACGTGCTGGCAACATATGTTTAATAAATATCATGGCATCATGGCGGCGATCGAATAATAGACGGCAGTTGTCACGTTTTCATCGAATAGTATAATGTGCTTTGGTTGGCACTTAAACATTCAATTAATTTATCTCTGTAAATCTTTGCAATCCGGTTAGAAATGTTGTACAGTTTTCACTATAGACTGAAGGACTGTGCTTATAACGCGATTGTTATTTTATTATATCCGACATACGTACGCCCACACTGAAGGATAAGTTATCGTGTCTATGATCTACCTTCGGAATTAACTTCTGCAAGCCGCTCGTCACTCCGTCCTATATATAACTTGTTACTCCGTGATAATGTAAGTAATCGCAAAATATTATTTGTGCCAGCGGTTTCTAAGTTTAACAGTTAACATAAATACGTACTCAAAGTAAGTTTATCGCCAATTTCGGTATAATGGATTAAAGTAGCCTGTTTATTAAAGTAAAATTTCGACTCAAAATTAAAAAAAAAGCAAAAGACCGGAAGGTTTCATCATTAAAAAGTCGTCAACGTATCTTACGGAGTGGTTTGTGAATAGATTGCTAAGATTAATGGCATCCCTTGCTACTTGTTGCTAAATGCCACACATTGGTTTGCTTTTAAAATCTCAAGCTTAATTGAAGTGACACATAACCTATTCGATGTCATTACGATTGGTTTTAAGGTTATTTTGATTAACTATATGAGAATTATTATAAAAACGGTCGCCCTTAATGATAGATCAAGTTTTTCTATTTCTGTTGTTCATTTTTGACAGTTTTCTATTTTTTCATCTTACTAATTCTTATTTCTTACTATTATTGTAACTTCGAAATATTAGTTAGATGGATGGTGTCTATGTTGGTAACCACTTATATGCCGAATGGCTCGATGAATCACGCTATTCATGATGTAGAATATAGTCTGTAGGAATACATAGGTTAATGATTTAGTTTTTTTTTTTCAAATTGTGTGCGGCCAGTTATCAATATTTTAAAAACTATTTTATTCAAAATATGATTAACACGAATTTAATGTTGTTCCAAAAGTCTTACCATGTAACTGAAGACTTAATTAACGTAGAATGTTTTCCGAAGTTTTCTAAATAAATCACTTATTCGACCTTTAAAACAGCCGTTTGAAATTTACGAAGTTTGTTTCGTGAAATAAATTAATTAGTTACTTAAGCAACATTTACAATAGATTGATTTTTCGTGTTGAAATTTAAACATGGGTATTAAAAAGTTAGAAAGATGGAACAATTTTTATTTGATTAAATGATTTTTTAAATACCTACGTTTCTCTAGTTACTAGTTTCATTTACACCGTTTTATTAGTTTAGTATTTTATGATAAATATACAAAACTTTCACAATCATTCACGTTGAAAATGAAATTCAAAAGTAGAGAATTGGTAATTTGAATAAATAACACACTGAAACATTTAAAGCAAAGTTAAATTGGATTTGTTACTTTAAACGAATACGAAGGAATTAAAATTTTAAAGTTGGTTACGAAGTCTGTAGTAGATAATACTTTTCATAATCTTAATTAAAGTAAATCTTTTATTTCGAACAGAAATAAATTGTATTTAGGAAATTTTTAGATAGAAATTTAATTAGCTTTTGATAGCAAACTTCGGACCCACGCGGTTGTTCATTGTACAAAAACATTCTTATACCCACATCTTTCAACACTAGTTGTACAAGACTTAGGTATATAATAAAAACTTTTATGTTTTATAGAAATCAAAATAAATCTCTCAAAACGTTAGTCATTTATGGTTAAATAATTAATTGATCTCGTTAAAATAAGAGTCGCCATTCCAATTATAAAATAAAGCGCGGTCGGTGAAAACCGAAACGCAGGCTGTTGCGGCCAAATAATTTTATTGCACTGTTGTACTGCGTCGCAAATCATGTTTATTCGACTATTACATTCTTTTGTATTGAAACATTCATAAAAGTTATTTAAAAATCATTTAACCGTTTCATTTTATACTAGCTGTTGCCCGCGACTTCGCCCGCGTGAAATTATAAGATAATACAAAATGTAACCTACGTTACCCACAGATAAATTACCTTTCTAACGGTGAAAGAATTTTTATGTTCAGTCTAGTAGTTTTTGAGCGTATTCATTACAATCAAACAAACAAAGTGTTCCTCTTTTTAATATTAGTAAAAACAAATGTTTTTTTTTTGAGAAAATTTCATATGCTTTTGCTTGCGACTCCGTCCGCGCGGAATAAAATACGCTACAATCTCTAACAAACATCCATCTAAACTTTCGCATGTATATAGTAAGATTGTAGAAATTTATCTTCATATTATTTGCAATAAGAAGTTTTAATAACAACAGTTTTATAAAGATAGTTAGCAGCGATAAATTACGTAAAGCATGACCTAAATTCGCCATTAATGCCAATAAAGACTGCAGATGTTCTGTTTTTTGCTTCGACACATTTTGTTGCGGCGATTAGCGAACCGAGTACAAAACAACAAACTTAAAAACAGCAAAATGGTTTGAGCGGGCGGACAAAAACTCGCCTATTTGGGTCTACAATCTTCACTTTTATATCTTTTTAAAATCAGTTTATTAAATTGTGTACTCATTAATATAATGAAACATATTTTTTGTTGTTTTATTACTTTACTAGCCGTTGCTCGCGACTTCGTCGACATGGAGTTTTAAGAAAAAGTAAAGAGAGGCCTGTGTTATCCAACTGTAACTTAGCTTTTTAATGATAAAAGAATTTTTGAAATTAATCAGTAGTTTTTGAGTTATTTCAATATATACAGAATCCAAAAATACAAATCTCTCCTCTTTATACTCGTAATATTAGATAGAATAATTCAATCTATTTTAATTCCGCCTGTCCTTATATTAGACAATATGTATATCTTTCATATGTAGAAATGATATATTGCTTACGTTAATATTAAAAGAAAATTTCATTGTAATAATATTAATGTAATAGCTGTATTTGTTATGTTAGTCGATATTAATGAGGGGATTGTTCCGTTTGACCTAAATTGTTGGAATTCGTATTGAATTGTTTAGTACAATAACTTGATTTGTGTACTATTATTGATTACGGATACATATTTAATACAAGTAACAAAGTAAAATATTAAATCAAACTGTTATAGATTTATACAAAATATTACACTGAAAATGCCAAAAGCGTAGTTTCCAGACAATTTAATATGAAAAACAAAAGATATACGATATTTAAGCTCTCATTTAGGAGACTTTTACCCGTGAATTGGTCATCCAGACTTTGCTTTACATCTATGTCAAATGTCATTGAGATTCGTTCGATCGTTTATGTGGTTAACTCTAACAAACATCCATTTAAACTTTCGCATTTGTAATATTAGTAAGATATACATTTTTTATTCAATATAACACTATTGATTGTAACTATTATTGTCGCGGCTTACACCAAAGTTAAAGCTTGGAAATACATTAGTTTTACCTACACGTTAAGAAAATATAGTGTTTCGAATGTTTCGTTCGCTTCGACCGCTTATCCTGTTCCCTCTTTACGTATAAAAATATGGCTGATTCTACTTCAAATTACATTTCTAAATTTATTTTAATCGATTCTTAAATATTCTTGTTCAACTGAATAACATGGTTACGGGCTTAACATCTGTCAAAAGTTAATCCGAATAATTTTGACGAGAATTGGGTTCGCATTTCGAAGACCTTAAATAAACCTTCCTAATTGATGTTTTACGTTAAAATTTTTGATAAAACTGCTCATATTAATCTATACTAACTAAAATTATGAAGAGGAAAGATTTGCATTTTTGTTTGTATTTATAACTCAAAAACTACTGGGCCACTTTTAAATATTCTTTCACTATTAAAAAGCTACGTTATCAGTGAGTGTGTAACGTAGACTATTCTTAATCGTTTTATAATTTCACGCGGGCGAAGTCGCGAGCAACAGCTAGTGTGAAATATTGAGTGTTTCTGAACTTTCTTTAGTTGGAATTTAGTTCATATATGATACACATAGACATCGACTTTAAAAAGAATCAAGAGCACTCAAGGATGAAATATATAAAGCGATTTATTTTTTAACTTATTGCTCCGTTTTTGTTTTTTGAATTGACGTATGCATATGCTACAGTTAAGCGAGTTTAAGCGTCCCAGTACAATAATATGGATACGTTTTATCGTTTAGCCACATTAACATACATTTTGATCTCGTATAGAAATGGAATTGCAATTGGCGACGTGCCAAAATGTGTGGTTAAGTCGGCGTCAGTAAAAATGTTTGTTATAATGTATGAAGTAAAACGATTTATTTGATCACTTCGTAATTGAGTTTACCGCATCTCTCTGATTTATTTGGCACGTTTCTCGAATTTAGGGAATTAAAAACTGATATCTATGGATTAATTGGTAAAATAATTTAAACACTTAAGTGCTTCCGAGTAACACTCTAATGTTATTGTAATGGAAACTTAAGCAAAATTATAACCTCAAATTGTGTGTTCAAAATTTGTTTCGGAGCTCGTGGATTAGAAGCTTACAAAGGAATTACCTTGACAGGTCTTTTAGACGGCCGTTTCGTTAAAAGTTGTCACCTCGCCTGTAGAAAATACTTATATTTAAAGCAAAAGTCGTGTTAATTTTATTTGCATAAACGAAGTACATACAGTTTATGGAGATTTTTATAGTTATTTTTTTTATTTTACGGTGATATTAATATTTCTTTTATTTGTTTCAGATTACTCAGACCAGAGGCACAAAGAAAACTATAAGACAACGCGACTTTTACAATTTTATCAAGCTTATATAAATTCGAGCAAACGACAAAGCGCCTTCATTCTACAATTATATTAGCAAGCTAGGACTAGGATTATTGTTAGGATATAAATATAAATCGAGTGCCAAGACTGTATGTGTGACTGTGAACTGCTGAACTGCTGGTGTGTTGTGCGAACTTGAAGTTACGTTGGTGCAAGTGTCTTATTTGTGAATCGCGATCGATGCGTGGCTGCGTCGTTCGCGTGTGCCGGTAGAGGGCGTAATTCGGAGTCGGCAAGATTGAGGTGGTGGCCGGGTGCGGGTGGGGCAGGCGCGCGCGCGTGCGGCCGCTGCACGCGCTGGGCCGCGCGGCCGGCATGTTGGCGTCACAACGCTCACAGTCGTGTAACGAGGAGGGCGCGTTCTTCGGCGCGCGGGCGCTGCGTCGGCCGCGCGGCAAGGGCAGCGGCAGCCCGCCTTGCTAGGGGTACGCCATGTCGCTGCGCAGCCTGCACCGGAGGCTCTCCTCCGCTAACAACACGTAAGTCTTGTTAACTACCTATAGTTTTTGTATGTTTTTATAAGAAAAGGGCTGAACGAGCGGCGGGAACACAGAGGTGGTCAAAGAGGCTCATAGACATCCGCAATACCAGAGGAAGTACAGATGAGTTGCCAACCTTTAAAGAAATGGTAGGCTTGCATCTTGAAGGACCCTAAATCGTATTGGTTTGGACATACCGCCGAGGACACAACGTTCCACAACATGGCTGAGCTAGGCAAGCTGTAGCATTAACGAAAAATGTCTTTCCTTTTAAGGCGTATAGGCAGGCACATTCGATTAAGAAGAAGCAAAACAATTAACTACTTGTTATATTATATTTTAATTGAGAGACAAACAATAACAATAAACAAACCTTACGAGTCTGAATTCCGAACACAAATCGACCGCATTCTTTTGAGAAACATACTTGGTCAATGGATATTTTTAGGGAGATCCCAGAATAAAATGGAATTTTGAAACTCAAATATAGAATGACCCTTGAATTACGTATTAGGACTACACCGCAAAATGACTGAAACCTCACGGACTGAATATCCGGAGCTCTTTTCTGCATGTTTTTTTTTGTGGCCATTTGTTTTCCCTTACTTAAATATTTTATTTGGATTTTTTACCTTTTTTACTTACAATTTACTATCCAATGAAGTATAGTACTTATTTAAATTTAATTGTTCCGATTCGTTTGAACACAAAAGTAACTAAAACATTGTATGGATCTAAGATATGCGTTTCGAAAAATCATGTAGTAATTAATCCCATCTGCAGATTCAAGACAAAGAAATTTATTTTTTGCTCAATATGTCGCAACTTACGTTCTTTCCATATTAAAAAGTTAATGTACCATGTTACTATTATTGCGTTATATGTAAAAGCATGAATATGACAATGTTATTGTTGACCTCGTTCCTCGTTTGCACAAATATACATTAAGTTGATATTGCATCAGCTGTTACGATCTGCAGATCATCTGAAAAACATTGCAGTATAAGCGTAACTGCTTTTTACTAACTTTTAAATACTCTTACAGTCAAAAATACTCTGATATGAGTGACAAATACGGAAAGCTCGTGTTTAACATGGTGCGCCCTTTTACTTATTTACATAGATTTAACACGTTTACTGCAGAAAAGAAAATCATGATTCTTCATCTGGTGCCGCGGCGGGCCAAAATGCGCCCCCAACAAAATTTCCGCTAGTGCGTGGCAGGTCTTTTTCGACCCACCAGCACTAGGATAGATTAAATTTTTACAACTTTATGGAAATACAATCTATATATTTTATGTTGTGATGTATACACCAGAGATAATCGTTTCGCACTACCTACTGGGACATAGTTTTCTTCGTCCGCACTAGCTAAAGTACCGCATCAGGCCGATATCGGCCTGTTACGCAGTGACGGTGTTAAAATTTAGCAATATATGCACCATGGCCAAAAGCACTTGGTGAGATTAGTAAATGCAATGTAATCTATGTAAATCCTTGTTTACGCGACTCGAAAACCGATTATTGCGTCCAATGGTGTATACAAAAGCTTACAAGTTGAAATGAAAACAGAATTAAGGATTACCCGGCGTTTAATCTGTTTTGCTTTAAGATTAAACGGGCTGAAACTACGTGTGTTTGTTGCTGATTTATAGGTGTTGTTTATTATGTCCATAATTTGTTTCAGAAAATATATTCATAGAGTAGATGACATCATCAAAGTTCGTTATTATCACACTTGTACAGATTAACATCTTTTATTATATCAGCAAATTAATTCTTGTTTTTATTTTATTCAGTATATCAGAAATCAGTTCATAGTCAAAGTAATTGACATTTTCCGCATACCCTTCTTACGCCCAAGGGACTTGATTGATGGATACGCATAATCGACATTCATGTCACATTTACAAAGAGTCATAGCTTAGCAATAGGCTATGACACACTAATATACAGACAGCTTAGTGTACCTTATGAATTTTAGACAAAAGAATCTCTAGTGGCCAGTTTCTCAGTTATATTTAAATACTTATTAGTGTTTTCGATTCGATAACTTCACAAAATTCTTCTCCGAACTACATAACTTGACTTTTACTTCTTTAAAATTTAGTTTAACCTAACACTAATGAATCACTAGGTAATGATAAAATAAATGGAAACTTCATAAAATTGAATTTCGAAAGTAAAAAGGATTTAGTTATGGTTTTTTTTATCAAATAAGTTTTGCCCAGTTTTATCTAGTAGAAGAAAATAACGTAAAAGTTACTAGTTAATGTACATTGTAGTTATTTCAAGCGTAAATTTATCCCTTCTTTGTGTTGTGGTGAGTTCTTTTGTTAACGAAATACCCGACACAACGTTTTATAGTTAATGTATTTTAATATTTATACCTCTTTCTGATAGCAGACGTATGTTTCTAAGTTTATTGTTTAATTTTCTTTGAATCCACAGGTATTTAATATTTTATATGAATTATTTCGAAAAAACCTTACCTACTTTATTTATTGCTTGATGCTTCATTGATATCCCAACACTCAAACATTTGCCCAGATGCTTCTGATAAAAGCTAAACGTGAATTCAATCAGTTCGGTTCAATACCAAAACAGCAAAAGACGTGATGTGATGAAATAACAATCTAACCAGACCAACAATTTGCATATCGGATAAATATTGATTTAGGAGTGAAATCGGTGCCCTCTTTGAATATGCATTTTGTTAGGAATTTTCAATGACTCTATTTACAAATCGGCACCATTTGTAGTTCTGGTTTTTTTTAGATACTAGCTTTCGCCCGCGACTCCATCCGCGCGGAATAAAAAACAAATGCGAGTAGCCAATTCCAGACTATCCTCTACATCTATGCCAAGTTTCATCGAAATCCGGTCAGCCGTTTAGGCTACAAACTCTAACAAACATCCATCCATCCATCTAAACATTCGCATTTATAATATTAGTATGATGTGTATCCCAATGGACCAACGACTTAGTGCGCACGGCGGGAAGTCGTTGGATGCGGAAGGCGGAGGACTGCATTCTGTGGAAGGCATTGTGGACGGCCTATGCCCAGCAGTGGGCAAACAAAGGCTGATGATGATGATGATGTGTATCCCAATATCGGTATCGATATTAAGTATAGCAAACATTTTGCATATAGTTCAATTAATGTATCATTTCGTGAACATTCGATGTTTCATGCAACTGACCTTGTTTGGCCGCAAGTTCCAAGTTTGCAAACTCTATCACTTGAGCGGTTACAGATAACGGAAATATTGTACAAGCGTTAAGAATATCTAGATAGGCAATTTTAACACTGTTTGTACTATAAAGAAATACCGTAAAAAAAACATAAGGTTGCAAACGAGCAACCGGCCACCTAATCCGCCATCATGGCGAAGCGACCGCTGCCCATAGACCATCCACAATTGCAGATTCGTTGCCTACCCATAATTGACAGAAGAGAAGACGCAAATAAACAGGATATTGCTCCATCCTGTGCGTCTCCTCCGCTGTCAAATCTACTTTTCCTTCCCATCCTTTCCTCTCAAAAAAAGGGTGAAAAGAAGGAGGGACTAAAATTCAGGCCTCCGGCACCATACTCATCAGACGGAACGCGGACTTGCTTCAACTTCACGCCTGTCTTCTGTGTGGTCGTAGTATTACACCGGGCTACCCGGCCTTTTCGCGCGAAGATGTAAAAGCGGGCTCTACCACTGTTAAATCTTACTTGCCTAATAAGTCATAAATTAAAGTTAAAATTGAATTGTCTTTTTAAATCTGTATTTCGTTTTGTATATTTTCAGATGGCTAAAAACTATTCTCGACAATTGCTCGCGCGACCAAATAGATGCCATTGTGTACAAGCATTCAAGTATACTAGGCTCATTTTGAAGCGTACCAAACTCAACAATAACAGCCGTATGAGCCCGGATAAATTGACCCTAAACTGGGGGAGTAGCAATTTGCGAGATGAAGTGGAGAATTCATTGTATCCGTTGTTACTGAGCTATACATGTTCGATTTTTTAAAATTGTCATGACAATTCAGGCTGTGTTTGCTTCATTGTTGGAAAATATATAGTTAATCCGAGTAAAATCGTAACTTTTCTGACAGACAAATAAAATATATCTTATACTTCGTTTAGATTGATGGATAGATGGATGTTTGTTACAAGTTTGTAGCCTATACGGATTACTGGATTTCGATGAAATTTGTTATAGATGAAGGGCTGGAAGAACACAGGCTATTCACTTTGTTTAACTTATTCCACTCAGGCGAAGTCGCGAGCGAAACCTAGTTTTCTCTAATTTTAAAGATTCTTTACAGTTTGAGACAGTTTATAACACTCTAATATTTAAATACTCTTATTAGCGCGGTTTATAAAGTGAGTCATATCAGAGAACGATTAACCTGCGAATTTAACTGCGAACAGGATATAAAAATGCTATCGAGCAAACGAGTAACCAACGAAGGTGGAAAAAATTCTTGATGTGTCATAAAGTTTATCTCCCGTATGGAACATATGAAATTATAAGAGGAAAATCTTGTTAATGTAAATCATAATTTCATTTTATGTATATTTTTTAAATTGTACTCACCTTTATTGAAAAATGGTGTCCACATTTCAGTCATGTTTTGAACTTCTCTTATCTCCCTTGAGACACAGGATTGGACTTTTTTTCCTTCAGTTAACTATAAGTATAGTCTAATTTAAGTCTAAGCCATTACTCGCGACTTCGTCGTTTAAAAATATAAAAAGTAGTACTTACTACACGTACAATATCATACTTATGATACACAGCAGTTACGTAGCTTCTTAATTGTGCAAGAATTTTAGAAATCGGCCTAATAGTTTTTGAGTAATTTCAATACGTACAAAAACCCAAAAATACAAATCTTTCCTCTTTATAATATTAGTATAGATATAGATAAAGCTATGATTTTATCGAGTAATATATAATGGAGTTGTTGAAATAAAAATAAGTTATTCGAGCTTCAATTA